AAAAAACATAAAAAAAAAATCATCTGTGAGACCAAACAGCCAACATTTACCCTAAGGCAAAGATGAGACAGTAAGGGGGCTGGCGGCAGTGCAGGGAAGTTAGATTAATGGAAGCGGAACAACCAGAATGGAAATAATGAGAATGTTGATACATTGTGAAAAATGTATCTGAACAATATGTATGTATAGAAATAGTTAAATGGGAACCTAATTTGCTGTGTAAACTTTCACCAAAAACACAGTAAAATATTACAAAAAAAAAAAAAAGAGTTTAATAGTTAAGAAAAAATGGGTAGTGCTGAGATTCTTCAGGGTGCTTTCCTGGATGATGGCCCCAAAGGCTGCTGATCCTTTAACCAGCAAAGATCTTCATCTAGGGACCCTGGGGACTAGAGCAGCCTGAGCCTCCAACTACACTCAGTTCCCCAGCAGGAACTTAAAAGCTCCCCCCAAAAAAGTTGCCCTTGAGTCAATTCCAACTCACAGCAACCCTACAGGACAGAGTAGAACTGCCCCATAGGGTTTCCAAGGAGCGGCTGGTAGATTCGAACGGCCAACCTTTTGATTAGCAGCCTGAGCTCTTAACCACTGCACCACCAGGGCTCCAACAGGAACTTACTGTGCCCCAAATGCATGTGCGAAACTTGAGCAAGTGATGGGCAGGCTATAAAGGGGAGACATCCTTCTCCAAAAACCAAAAAAAAAAAAAGAAAGTCATTTCTCATGCCTCTTAGGCACAAAATTACATAACATAGTGCAGTAAGATTTTGCTCTTTCCTTTCACAACTGAACCCACAATTCTTCAGTTCAAAGCCAATGAGGTCTGGACAACCTCCTGAGCTCTAGAGCAGTGCATTCACAAAACCACAGAGTCTTACCATTTGGGCGAGGTCTTGCATTTCACTGCTGCTGCCTTATTTTGTGAGAAGGTAATACAATATCCGAATAACTGCCCAGAGACACAAAGAAGCTGCTAGCACCACCTCACTGGCGCCAGCATGCGGTCTACTCTGCGGAGCCCGGCCTGCGTGCGGAGAGGAACGGGGCTTCTGTGTCCCTCTAGACCCAGATGCTCCTGTGCTCCAAGTGGCCTGCGATCCTCACCGTAGATCTCTGCTGTAGGGCCTTATTCAAACAGTGCGGAAGAACGTGCATGTGTGAGATGACAGTGGCAAGCCTGGGGAAGGAGCTGGGTCAGGAATTCCAGGAGAAGGCAGAGGAGGAGAACCTCAGCGAGAGCTGCCTCAGAGAAGAGAAGGGCCACAGGGCTCAGCAGTGAGCTGGCAGGTGGCCACACCAGGAGTCCCTTCGAAAGCAGAGGAGGCGGCATGGAGCCAGGGGATGTAGCAGAGACTCCCTGCCCCCCACGATGCGGGCTGCTGAGGGGACATCGGTGCGAGCACCCTGGAGCCTGGAGAGCACTGCGGGCTCTGGTGACTCTGGGAGCTGGCCGGTCAGTGCAATCAATGCCTGCTCTGTCCCAGGCATGTTGGGGCTGGGACTAGGGAGGGGTGGACAACCTAGGGGGCCCCGGACTCCACTGGGTGACAGCAGCATGGGTAGGAGGTCCCAGGCAGGCCCACACGCCCCGTGTGCACAAAGGTGTGGAGGAGAGGTCACGGGGCAGGAGGGAGGCAGGGACAGGTTCTGAGCAGGGAGCAAGCTGGTCAGGTCTCAGTTCAGAAACAGAAGCTGAGCAGCGGAGCTGTGCGGAGCAAGGCTGGAGAAGGCCCCCTTGAGGACGATCAGCCCCAGGGGAGGCTGCAGAACAGTGCAGGGCTCTGATCATCCTAACAGAGTGGCCATAAAGAGAAAGGAAGTTCTGGAACACACTATAACACAGATGAACCTTGAAAGCAATATGCTGAGTGAGATAAGTCAGTCACGAAAGGACAGATACTGCATGAGCCCACCTATGTGAAATATCTAGAATAGGCAAGGGTATAGTGACTAAAGTTTATTAGTGGTTACCAGGGGTCGGGGTGGGGGTTAAGGGGGCTTCACTGCTTAGGGGACACTGAGCTTCTGTTGTGGGTGAAGGGAAAATTTGGAAATGGATAATGGTGATGGTTGAACAACATGATAAACATAATTAATGCCACTGAATTGTAAAAAATGTTGAAATGGCAATGTTTTGTTACATATATATTTGCCACAATGAAAAAACAGAAAGAAAAAGACACGAATGCAGAAGTATTAGGAGACACAGCGTGGCAGTGCCTGTTTAGGTCCTCAGCAGGAGAATGACCTGCTCCTCTGCTTTCAAGGGGATTCCTGGTAATGCCAGTCCACCCTTTATGAAGCGCCAGGAAGATATTGCTCTGTCTTTTTGCTAAAATGGAGCCCTGGTGGCAAAGTGGTTAAGAGCATGGCTGCTAACTGAAAGGCCAGCAGTTCAAATCCACCAGCTGTTCCTTGTAAACACTACGGGTCAGTTCTACTCTTCCTATAGGGTCGCTATGAGTTGGAATTGATTTGATGGCAACAGGTTATTTTTAAACTGCTGAATCCAAGGGGCTGACCAGAGTGTCTGAGTCAGTGCTCAGAGAAGGCCTGGTGGATGGAGATGGCATGGGCAAGCAGGAGACGTGGGCTCTGCCCAGCTGGGCCTCGTCCCAGACCTGGGCAGGTCACTGCGCTTCTGCAGGGCCTTATTCAAACAGTGCGGAAGGACATGCATGTGAGAGCAGGGTCTGCAAGAGGACTGAGACCTTGTGCCCAAGTCGATGGTCCAGTGCCTAAAAGGCACAGCACAATGGAAGCTCACGCTAGGAACCAGGTCATCAGATGCCCCTTGATGTTACCAGCTGCATGGTGAGTGAGCCAGCCCTCCTGCTGAGCGTATTCACTGCCAACCAACGCCCCCTGTATCATGCCCCATGTGCTCAGAGGCCAGCCTGCAGTCACACACCTAAGAGATCATGCACCTGGGGAGGGGGGCACCTTTTCCCCAAGTCCTGAGACACCTGCAGCTTCCAGACAGGGTGCAGCAGGGCCGAGCACGGCGATTTGCCACAGTGGCCATCGGGTGGTGGTGTCAGCGTCGCAGGTTCATGGACATGCTGAGAGACCCACCCAAGTTCCCTCTACTGGTAGGAACAGAGCTCAGTACCTCCCAAACTCCCAGACAGCTCCCAGAGCTTTCAGAGGGCACCATGGCCACAGGCCCACACCCCGCCGAGCTGTCCAGAGGCCCTGGAATTGGGTGTACACCCTAGCACCTGTCCTTCAACACGGTGTGCTGGCACAGATATGGGAAGATGGGCCGCCCAGGGTACAAGTGGAGATGTGGGACTGTTCGGGAGCAGGGAGAGGGACTCCAGAAGCCAGCATGTCATAACTGCAGGCACCGGGCATAAAGGGGACAGGCCCCGTGACAGCAGCCGACCTCACTGGTCATCGAGGACATGGCAGGGAGACACTGTGACAGTGGGGCAGCTGCACTGGTCACTGACGACCTGGTAGGGACAGGCCCTGTGACAGCGGGCGGCCTCAGTGCAATCAGGGGTGTGGCGGGGACAGGCCCTGTGACAGCGGGCGGCCTCAGTGCGATCGGGGGTGTGGCGGGGACAGGCCCTGTGACAGCGGGCGGCCTCAGTGCGATCGGGGGTGTGGCGGGGACAGGCCCTGTGACAGTGGGCGGCCTCAGTGCAATCGGGGGTGTGGCGGGGACAGGCCCTGTGACAGCGGGTGGCCTCAGTGTAATCGGGGGTGTGGCGGGGACAGGCCCTGTGACAGCGGGCGGCCTCAGTGTAATCGGGGGTGTGGCGGGGACAGGCCCTGTGACCTTGGGGGGCATCACTGTAATGGGAGGCGCTGTGTTGCTGCAGGACAGGGAAGCGCAGGGACCTCGGGCATGTCTCTACGACCAGGGCTGTCTGTTGGGCTTCTTGCAGTATGAATTGGGATAAGAAGAAGGGAGTTCTTGGCAGAGGAACCTGCAGGCACCGGGGCATGGAGAGGAGCAAGCTTTGGCATTTCAGGGAGGCTGGTGCATGTGGAGTGTGAGGAATGCTGGGAAGGAGGAGGGAAGTAGCCCTGGCACAGATTGTAGAGAACTTGGTGACAAGGAAGAAACAGCTTCAGGTCCAGGAATGGGGGCTCTTGGCTCTGTTTGGGAATGATGTTCTGTCCCAGCTCTTCTCCCCCTGCAGCCTTACACAGCTGGGGGTCCTGGAGAAGAACTTTACTTGCGTACTGTCAACCAGGGACTTGAGACTGGAGAGATGGATCCTGGTCCGGGCACACAGGCAGACCAGGGTGGGCCTGCGGCTTGGGCCCTTTTCTACTCAATCCAACTTTTTAAGTGGTTCTCTTAGACCAAGCAATGCCCTCTCACGGATAAGTGCAATTCTGGTCTTCCTGCCCTTGTCCCTTCTTGGGGACAAGCCTCAGCAGGCACAGGGCTATGGCCCCAGGCTCTCTCTGAAACCTGTCCACCACCCTCCCCACCTTGGGAGCACAATCAAAACTATGGAGAAAGCCCATCCCCTGCTACGGTGGCTGGGCAGGTGGGCAGGGGTCGCAGGGAATGCATGGGGGTGAGGGGTTACATACACAGTTCACCAATGCACATGTGGTCACCTACAGGCTGGCCCCAGACCATGCTGATGCCAACTAACACACAAGTGGTCACCTCTGGGCCAGCCCAGGACTGTGGCCAACAACCACCAGCACACACGCATCACTCACAGGCCAGCCCCAGGATGCAGTGACGTAGACTGCATGACCAATCAAACAGCAAAATACACCCGTCAGGATTCTAGCCGTGTGCCTGCCCCCACAGCAGACTCAGTAAGTTATACAACTAAGTCACCCAGGCACGAGCGGGCAGTGAGATGTAGTGGAGGGCACCTGCTTCGGAGCTGGACCACAGCTTCAACTCTGCCCTGCAGCTCGCTGGCCTCATGACCTTGGGCATGCCACTTTACCTCTTGTGCCTCAGTTTCCTCATCTGTGAAAAGGGTACCTTTCCCTGAGGGATCTCTGGTTGAACTGACCTGAATCTTGCCCTGGACCCCGGTGCTGTCCATGCGGCTGGCCACGTTGACCGTGTTGCCCCAGATGTCGTACTGAGGCCTCCGGGCCCCGATCACCCCAGCCACCACGGGGCCGACATTGATGCCTGCAAACAACAGCAGTGGGGTGGTGTTAGCAGGGAACGCAGGAGCAGCACAGCCTACAAGCCCAGCGTACCTGGTCCTGGATGCTGTTCTGCAGGGGAGGAGGCTACTCCTCCAGGGTCCTGGAATCCCAGGGCCGATTCATCCAGTCCTCCTTCCTAAAGCAGGGATCTTGGCAGCACCATGGGGGAGCCGCTCCTTCCTGACGCCGCCCAGGCTACGGTGGGGCAGGCTGACTGCTGAAGAGTATTCCTAATCCAGAGACACGGCTTGTCTGCTCCACACTTGGCGCTATCGCTGAGTCCTGCCCCCGGAGCTGCTAAGTCTGGTCATCCAATATCTGTGACCACAGTGTGTATCCCTGTACAGGCATCTTCCCATTTCCAGAAGAAATGGGGGCTGCTGACTCTTTAGTCACATCTCTTTTAGGGCAGGGGCCAGAACTGGTCACAGTAGTTTAGGATGCTGTAAAGGGAGGGATTGAGGCCCTCCTCTCTTTATGTAGACTGGGCAGCTCCAGAGCTAGACAGCATCACGGTGACCCAGAAACACCTGGGTTTTACTCACCACTTGTGAGAACTTCAGCAAAGTGTTAACCTCTCCGAGTTGTGATTTCTCTAGTTTTAATACGCGGATACTAACACCTGTAACTTTCAGGACTGTACCACATGTGGATGGTCTCTGAGGCTGTTACTGCAACTCACTGCGGCCCCTCTGCAGCTGAGCTGTTCTCGCCTGGGCTCATGCCAGTCAGATCTCCCATTCTCACTTGGGGATTTATTCTTACGAGGGTGGTCGGGGACTTTTAACTGTTTTGGTTACTGGCTTTGTAATTCCCGTGAAAGTCTGCTGGGTGGTGCAGAGGAACGTGGGGAGTGCCGGACATGGCCGTCAGGGTGAGTGGGTCGTCAGGGTGAGTGGGTCGTACTCAGCCGACCAGGGGCACGTGAAGGGTCAGAGGCCAGAGAGAAACTCCAAGGGGCCCCCTTCTGAGATGATTGGTAGGAAAGCTCCCTGCTCTGCCAACAAGACACCAGCCCCACAGGGAGAAGGCAGAGTCAGAGCCAGCCTGACTTCTGCTGGAAGGACTGGGAGGCATCCTCGTCCAGCACATGACCCCTCCTCCCTGTATTCTGCGCCTGCTGGGCTCCTGGGTGGAAGAGTGAGAACAGGGTCTTCCCATGTTCAAGGATCCTACTTTCCCCTGAAAGCAGGCCCTGGGTGGTGCAAACAGTTAATGCACTTGGCTGCTAACTGAAAGGTTACAGGTTGGAGTTCACCCAGAGGTACCCTGGAAGAAAGGCCTGGTGATCTACTTTCAAATAATCAGCCACTGAAAACCCTATGGGGCACAGTTCTACTCTGACACATATGGGGTCACCATGAGTCAGAGTCAACTTGACTGCAACTGGCACTGGTTTACCTTCCCCTGAGGCCCTGCTGGGCCTTCCCTAGTCACGTTAGTACATCTGCTGGTCAGGGCCCCAGGCCTGGAGGGCAGCTGGTGCTGGAAGCCCGACACTGCAGGCACTGTCCCCAGGTGGCATCACCCTCCAAAGAGGAGTTGCACAGAGGTGCTGGAGGCAGGTCAGGGCCAAGAGCAGGCCTAAGGACATCAAAACTCCAAACACACTGGAACGATCAACTTCTACCACCCTTAGCTCTCTAACACACCTCTCAGTGTTTTGTGTTTTTTTAAGGCCACTAGATGTTTGAATTCTAAAACAGGGAAGAAAATAACTATTAACCTCTAGTTTAATTATGTCTTAGACTAGCAGGGATTTTTCTGGAAACTTTCTGCATTCTAGAAAAAAAGTGAATTTAAAGTTTGATAAACAATTTATAGATATGGTTTTGTAAAAGCTAGAAGGGAATTTGAACATCAGACAGCTTTCCCCCTAATTTTTCAGGAAGGGAAGAACACCCACACAGCTACCTCCCCCTGCCAGGCCTCCTCCTGGGCTGCCCCCTTGCCTCAACACCGGGGTTGCCCGTGCCTGCAGACAGGGAAAGGGCCATTTTCCTCCAGCCAAGGTGGAATCAGAGGTACATCTAAAGTGTCTGAAACAACCTGGAGATTTCTAATGTATCTCATGGTGCTAACATCTTCCCTTACATACTGGGTTTCAGAGGCGACTCTGAGGCTCTGTGCCCTGTTGCTATGTCCATGCTCTCCCCTGGGCCCTGCCCTCCTGCCTGTGGGGACAGGAAACCTGTCTTGGCCCTGCTCCTATGGGACCCACTAGGAGCCTGGGAGCTGCGAGCTGGGGCTGCAGAGAAGGTGAGGGATAGGTTAGAGCCATGTCTTACCCACACGGAGGACAAAGTCGTTGTATGACTGATAGTTGATTTCATCCAGGACGTCAAACATCTCAATAGCAAAGTCCGCAAGTATGCTAAGGTGGGAGGTGATGGACTTCTTAGCCTAGGTGGGAGCAGATGGAGTTGTAAGATTTTCTGCACCAGCCCTGGATGGTTTTCATCCAGTGGGGATGGCTGTTTACCATCCTCTGGGAGGCCCCAGGGTGCATTATATACCCACTCTACAGGCGGGGAACTACAGAAGGGGCAGAGCTGGACTCACCCCGAGGGTGGCTCTCCTCTCCTCACGCAGGACCCATCTTGGGGGTGGGGTGGAGCAGCCAGGGCAGGTAGGAGAGCAGACAAGCAGGCTCAAACCCTGCTCCAGGTGTGCTCAGTGGGAACACACCCACAGGACGGAACATCAGGGAAGAGCAGCCCTCATGCTGAGATCTGTCTTTATTGGGGGGCAGAGGTGTTACAACATCCTTCTGAAGGGTGACACCTATAGCATTTTCCTTTTAAAAATGATGTCAAGCTTTTCTAGTTTTTCTTCGTTAGGGAAGTTTTACTAGTCCTCAAGGTTGGGAACGAATGCATTTTCAGCCAGTTTCTTACACTGGACTCAGGAAGTGCTCTCAGAGATCCTTTAGGGGCTGCTGGGGGTGGGCGTGGGGTAGCGGCTGAGAGAGAACACAGTAAGCAGTTCTGCTGCCTGCTCCATCTCTGAAACAGGAGCCCACCTGCATACAGGGGCTGGGGGAGGTGGAGGGTGACAGTATTCTGAGAGTGCCACCCTAGAGGGGGACCTGCTCCACGGTGAGCCCCGGGCCCACGCCATACCCAGGGCCTCTCCCTTGCTGAGGCTGCAGGAGAGAGCAAGAACGATTTGGGAAGAAAGAATGCGGGCAGGGGGCAGCGACAGTGTGGCAGACTCTGGACTGAGGCTGAAAATGTGGTTTTAACTGTGTTCATGCACATGAATGGCCAAGTTACAGAAAACCCACCAAGATTTCAGTCAAGGCCCTTCATTCAGGTGGCGTGGAGGCCTCTGCCCTAGCCTGAGCAACAGAGCGCCCTCCTTGCTCAGTCCTGGCTGGCCACCCTCCCCTGGGCTGCTGCAGACTGGGAGTAGCACAGACCTCCCTCCAAAGCGCACACCAGCCTCCCTGCACACAGGGCCTGCTGTGGTTCAGGCTGGCCAGGGCTAGGGGCGAGCATTTCCTTCTGCTATTCTTGTCACAGTGACATCCCCACTGGGAGCCGGTGTGACCTGCAGCCCAGGGTCTCAGACTGGGAAAGGCCACGAGAGAAAGCGTGTGGGGCAGTTACTACACATGAGCCCAGGCTGCTCTTTTAACACACAAATCCCTGCAGCTGCATGAGAAATGCTAATCATGCCTTCCAGTCACACTTCTGCCTCCAATATTCGGAGGGAGTCAGCTGGGGAACACACAGCATCTGCCTGTGATGCCAGAGCCCAGTCCTTGCTGGCTGTTTGTGGTAGAGGCTATCCTGCCTGTAACTAGGCACAGCTCTACCCCGTCCAGCTGGCCCACGCGGATGGGCGTGAGGACGGCAGACACCCCACCCCCAGTCACAGATGAGAACGTGGTCCTAAACCACCTGGCCCTTTGCTCCAGGACACTGCCTTTGCTTTTCCTTTCTCTTTTTCATCAAAGCTAACTACAGCATATTTCTTAAGGAAAATTCACTGTAAGGTCCTTCTCTGGTGCCTCGGGATGAACAAATGAATGGCCTTGTCCTGGTGAGTCCTGTGAATTCACTGCTCCAGGGAGGTCCTGTCATCTGCATGAGGTCTCCCGGGGGACCACCGCCCCATGGATATTGCACGTGTCATCAGTTAGGATGAGGTCATTTGGGTGGCCCTAATCTCCTTACGACTGATGTCCTCATCAGAAGACGGGAAGAGACACACAGGCAGGAGGTCAATGTAAAGAGAAGGCAGAGACTGGAGGGATGCTGCCACAAGCCCAGGACTGCTGGGGCCACCAGAAAATGGAAGAGGCAATAAAGGATCCTCCCCTAGAGCCTTTGGAGAGAGTATGGCCCTGCCAACACCCTGAATTTGGACTCCTGGCCTCCAGAACTGTGAGAGAATAAACATCTGTTGTTCTAATCCCCCCAGTTTTTGGTACTTTGTTACAGCGGCCCTAAGAGACCAAGTCCTGTTGCAGGAATCCTCAGGTCCCTGCCAGGCTGTCCTGCAGCTGTGCTGGGACCTGGAGCCTGATGACGGCTGGGGCTCTGGGCCTGGACTTCTGCCAGCTCCCCGCCCACCCCTCCTGCCTGCTGGGCCTGCACTGAGACTCATGGGATGGGTCCCTGCACCGTGTCACACTCCCCCAAGGAGGCTCTCACCTGGCACATTTTCGAGACTCTCAGGGTCATTGCACACTCCCCCCGACATGTACGCAGCCCCCCATCTTTGGGGCACAGTGTCAGCCTGCCCCCAGAGCCCATGATCTACGCTGCACTTGGTAGCTGGCCTGGTGTCACTCAGAAGCCAGGTATGAGGATAAGCTGTCATTTGAGGAAGGGCAGATGCAGCATTTCACCCTAGGCTGGCTGGAACTGGACCTGGAGTGTAAGCCCCATGAGAAGGGGGTGGTGCTTGTTCCGTTCCCCTGTCTCCATGTGTACAGCAATGCCCCACCCGGAAAGCGCCCGCTCAGGATTTGTTAAAGGGATCTTACTGCCCTATGACCGGCATGAAAGGGGCTGGGGGAGACATGGCTCCGCTCTGGGGGGACCACCGTCTGCACTGCTCGCCTGCTCAGAAGGCCAACCCCTGAGCTGCCAGGAGCAGGGTGATGTGCTGTTTCAGTGCCTACACTGGAGGTGGGCCGCTGAGGGAGGGCGGGGCAGGGGCTGGGGCCGGGGCTAGTGGTCAGCGTGACTAGAGGCCTCTGTGGTGCTCCATCGTCCCCATCCACCCTCCTCACCCAACCAAACTGCCTGGTGTGGGGCACACTACAGAAACCCACACAGTACTGATCTCGGACTGTCATGCCGGAAGGACCCTCAGCGTGTGGACAGTGAGGAGCCCCACCTGGGACTGGGGGTCAGGGGCTCAAGGAAGCTCCCCGCGACCTGCCTCTGGGCTGAGTTTCCACAGAAGACTATCTGGAGAGAGTCCCCTGGTGGAACAGTCTGCAAGTAGCTCCCAACCCAATCCAGAGGGAAGGCCCAGGCCCGGGAAGGGTGGGTGGGGGTGCTCAGTGTCACAGGGCAGCTTGGGAGGGAGCCAGGACTAACCCCCCAGGCACGGGTACGGCACTCACCTTGGCCCCCGCCGTGGGTGCCAGCCCCACGGCCGCCATGTACGTGCTCCCAATGGTCTTTATCTTCTCTAGGTCTTTATAAAAGTCTTTCTCCATGAGCTTTGTTTAAAACATAAAACTGTTCAACATTACATAACATTTTAGACAAGTCACCGCAGTTCTCAGCCACCATAAGCAACAACAAGGGGATAAGCACATCCTGAAAAGCAATCTTCCTCCTGTTTTGGGATACTGGATGAGTTCAGGGACTGAACTGAAATGCGTAGGCCTGGGGGGCTTTGAAAGAGGAAGCGAGGAAGGAAGTGAAAAGACCCAGCCCTGCCTTTCACAGCTGCACTCAAGGTCCTTCAGGGAAAATTTACAGCTGTCACACATGTAGCCAGGGCCAACACAGTCCGCAGCACCCTGCGGGAGGGCCCTGGAGATGCCTGGCTGCCTACCCTGTCCCCAGGTGTGGTCACTGACAGGGAGAAGTGCCTTAGCACTCAGCAGCCAGCTCAGTGCCTGGTATCTTCCTCCCACATCCTAAGGCAAATTACACACTGCTTTTCCTCACCTGTCACAGTTACTGTGGAATCTCAGGGGCAGAGGGTGGGCTTCCCCAGGATATATTTTCCACCCAATCCCACCTATAGAGCGCGTAATACATTGCTGGACATGTACAGGATTTCATTAGGTAAAGGAACATTACTTAACCTAGACAGCACCCACAGACAGGCCACTCGGGAGCACACAGGGTTTAGGACAAGGAAACGTGGACATTACCTCATCGAAATCCGCAATAATCTCGTTCAGCAGGCGCAGACACTCCACCCCCATGTTGTTGCCATCCAGCTCAATGTAGAAGTCATTGAAGTTGGGGATGGATGCGAACATGACACCCACTTGTGAGTACGACTGGTAATAGAGGTCCTGGAGAGGCCGTACAACGAGGGAGCCCCGTCAGCATCTGCAGGCACAAGGGCCCGCTCTGCCAGGGAGGGCTGCGGGGGCACCACTTGTCACCGAGTCACAGGGCACGGGGCCCTTCACCGTTCTCTCTCACTGGCACCATCTCCCCTTACTGCAGGGGGAGTTATGACTCCGTTTTACAGACAAGGAAAGGGCTCAGAGAGGCTCTACAACTTGCTGCAGTTCACACAGCCAACAACTGTGGGGCTCAACTCAGCTGTGACCACAAAGCCTACTCCCCTGCACTACTGCTTTGTGCTTTAGTGAGACAAGAAGGTGGCAGCGGGGACAGAAGTGATTTTAGAAAACCAGTGCGCTCTGGATGGCCTGAGGCACAACTGAATTAAATATTCACGCTGAGGCACAGTTAAGGCCAAAGCAAGTGGAACTTTGGGGTTTCACCTGTGTCTTTAGTACCTAAAATAGGATCTAAATCTCTCTGCTTTTGAATCATCATTTTCAAGCATCTTGTGCTAGACTGCAGTCACAGGTCTTTACTGCATCAGTTGAAGGCCACTATACCGGGCACAGGGAGATGCAAACGAATACACATATGCTTACACAGATGTGCAAGCGAATCATTCCACAGCCAGGCAATTCTATTGTTTAAGGCACACTTCTGCCGAAATTTATCTACAAGGGAAGAGAAACTCCACCCAACATTTTCAAGCACTGAAATAAAGTGTTTTTTCTCCCCATGCAGCTACGGTTTCTCAAAGCCCATTTCCTCTCTCGGGATGATGCATGCTGCTTTCTCTCCCATGTGATCAGAGGTGAGAGCTAAGGAGTTCCACGGCTCTGCCAACCTCACCTCCCAGAACTGTCTTCCTCCCCCAGCCCAGCAAAGGGGGCCAGGAGGGGGTGGGGCCACACTAAACCGGGGGGCAACTGAGGGTTCAGAGAGGCAGCCAGCCCTGCAATTTGCGGTAGAGACAACTGGCGAGAGTAAGGGTGCATTGGCCCCCCACTGCAGCTCCGCCACCTCCCAGCTAATGGGCACTTCAGGGGATTCCTGTGCCTGGGGTGGAGGCCAGAGCTCACCATGTTCCTGGGGTTCGACATGAGGAAGTGCTGGGCTACGTGGGCTGGCAAGAGGTTGAAGAGGATCCTCTTGTTGTCCAGTTTGACCTTCTCCATGTCATCACGCTCCTCTTCTGCCTGAGAAGGGATGTGAACGCGGCCCTGGGTTAGTCCCGAGAGGACCTTCATCCACCTACCCCCATTCCACTTCATCCAGATCCTTCAAACTCAACTCCTAGTGCACGGCTGTCTATGCCAGTCTGCCTTCTCTCCCCCAACCAGACACAGCATTTAGAGATCAAGTAATAGGGGCCAAGGGACCCATGCATTTTTAGACAAGACACCACCCCGACCAGTGGAACACTCAAAGCACAGACAAGGGCTTCACCATCATCTTCAGGGTCTGCCCCACGTCCTGTTCTGGGGATGGGTCTGTCCCAGAAGCTCTTTCATAGGCACGTTCCCTGCTGCCCCAGCCATACCAGCCCTCGGGGCAGCTGGGGCTGCCCTCTGCCTTCCCCCAAATGCTGAAGCTAGGTGGGCTGGACACCTCCCTAAGGGCCCTCATTTCCTCCAGAACACCTTCCTCCTCCACTAGGAGCTCACTTCTCTCTGGGACAGGGAGACGAGTAGAAAGGCACGAGGGCCTCGGAGAGGGCAGATCTGGCCCAAAGTAGGGCAGCAGAAGGCTGGCTTTCTGCATCAGGGAAAGGGGGTAAGATGTCAGCCAGGCTGGGGTGGCAGCTGCGCAGAAGCAGGAATGGAGGCTGCAGGCGGCATGGTAGCTGTATGGTCTTGCAGAGATTAATAAACCAAGCAGGGACGACCCCCACCTCCTCAGCGACCCTGAGGGCTCAGGAGGCTGTGGGCAAGGGCTGACTGCAGCAGCTGGCTGGGCACAGGCGTTCAGAGGTAGAAGCTTCCGTGATTACTGTATGTTAGCGCTCCTGCCTCGGCGCCTGGCACAGACCCGACCCAGACAAGGAGCGTGGCGTGGATGCCGCTGTGCTGAGCCTGGGGGAGAGTTCTGAGTGTGTTTCAGCATGCACGGAGGCACCAAGCTCGTCAGCAATAAAAACAGTACAATGACGCCCTGGCTTATGTCCCAGCTCTGCCACATAGGGGCTGGACACAAGAGGAATGTGCAGCCTCTGTGCTTCAGCGTTCTCATTGTAAACGGGCATAAAACAACCAGTTTTAGAGGCACCATTCATAGGGTTGGGGGAGGGTGTGCTGCCCAGAAACCTCAGAAAGTGTAGCCTACTTTTTGTATTGTTGTTACTATTATTACAGATGAAGTGGTCAATTACACACCGCTAGATTTCACATACAAATGCTACCAATTGAAAGAAAGAAGCTGAGATTACTAAAGACAGACAGACCACCAGGTGCTATGGACTCGACTCCGACTCACGGCGACCTCACGTGTGTCAGAGCAGAATTGCATTCCATGGTGTTTTCCATGGCTGAGTTTTCAGAAGTAAATCACCAGGCCTTTCTTCTGAGGCATCTCTAAGCCTCAAACCATAAGGATCCTGGCTTGAGAACACCTGTGGTCACAAGGGGACAGTGAGACCAGGCTGGGTAGGGCCTGAGCCTCAGGCCCCCAGACACCTCCTAGATGTTTTCTGGGAAAGCAAGGCTGGTGGTGAGTCAGTGTGATCTACAAAAGAAGTCATCAGGGAGACCAAATGACAGTTGTTTTTACCCTGCTCCTTATAAGAGGGTGGACAGTCAGCAGAAGAGGAGATAGAAAGACACCCAGGGCTGCATCACCTGATGTCGGCTAGACCTGGGTCCTGCCTCCCACATGGACTGGAGCGGGCTCTGCCAAATCCTGCAGGCGGGCAATGGCATCATGAGGGGGGTTTGGGGGGTGCAGACCACACCAGGTGACATTGGAAGTGACACCAAAACGACTTGTCTATAAAATTTTTGTGCAGTGTTCCAGCAGAAATTTATTTATTTTTTATAAAAATATCCCTGTAGTTAGTTAAAACAACAAAAAACATTTTTCTTACATTAGCCCAGCTTACATGTACCAATATACCTACACGGCTAAAACTCTATGCTAATTTACTTTTGAACCTTCTAATGCGCTCTGGTCAGAGCTGCCATTATTACCCAATTACAATGACGCTTCGAATCACGTGGTTTCATCTGCACACGCTACAAGTACGCTCTGCTGTTTTCACTGCTGCTGGTGTTTTTACAGTAGCTGATTTTGTCAAATTTTCTAACATTTTACCTACAGTATTGTGGTAATTAGTATTTGTGAACCTATATTAATAACTTTTTTGAGAATGAAATAGTAATTAAAGGAAAAGAAGGACCGATATACTGGAATTACAATTTATGAGTAACATTAGTTCAAAAAACATCACTAAGGATTCTGTATGGTCTGGTATGGGAGGAGGTCCATGTGGGGAGGGTGACACCATGAGTTACTGCACTGGGTGGTTATCAACCACTGTGATATGACACCACTGCAGGCACGACCAGCGTGAGAAAGAAAAAGTCACAGCATGGAGCAGGGAGTGCATCTGCATGACGAGGTCTGTGTTTCACATTGAGTGTGACTGCGGCCACAGTGCTGATGCTTCCCCACATCTATTTCTTACTCTAGGTGTAGTCAAAACATCTGGAAGCCACTGGTATCCAGCAGTGGGTTCCAAGGCTTTTTCAGCACACATTCCTGTCAATAATAACATACTTAACACACACCTCTCCATAAAACACACATCTATAATCATTGTGTTAAGGAGCCCTGGTGGTGCAACGGGTAAGCACTTGGCTGCTAACTGAAAGATTAGAGGTCTGAATCCACTCGTTGCTCTCTGGGAGAAAAGACCTAGCAATCTGCTCCTGTAAAGATTTCTGCCTAGGAAACTCTACAGGGTCACTTTGAGTCAGAATCAACTCAATGGCACACAGCGACATTAACATGTGTTAACATGTTATGTACTAATATACACAAGAGAAAAAAATCTAAAGGATGAGATAAAGAGACAGTAAATATTTTTAAAATAATAGCTTTTATGGTAGAACAATTTTGTTCTCTTCAAAATATCATTAATGTTAATCTATTTTAGTAAGAGCAATGTGATTGAATATGCTTCGATAAAAAAATTGTCGTGTATCACTTTGTGATTAAAAGATCTGGTACCAAGTTCGGTTTATTTCAACATTTGAATTAAATGGCTAGCAAAGTTGGTTGTGCTTCTTAAATCATCATCTATATATTAATGAGGAGCCCTGGTGGCACAGCGGTTAAGCGCTTGGCTGCTAACCAAAAGGCTGGCAGTTCATTTGAACCCACCAGCTGCTCCACAGGAGAAAGATGTGGCAGTCTGCTTCCATAAAGATTACAGCCTTGGATGTCCTATGGGGGCAGTTCTACTCTGTCCTGTAGGGTCGCTATGAGTCAGAGTCAACTCCACAGCAATGAGTTTTATATATTAACCTCCCCATAAATGCAAAGGTTGAAATCTGACTGGTAAATGTCCATCTTCCCCAAGCTAGTTACTCTTACAAACCAACGAAGACCTACAGTGTTAGATATTTTTAAAAAATGAGGTGAAAATCCACTGAAATTCTCTGTTTATAAGATTCTTTTCAACCAGCCACGAAACTCTATGTATTTTTAAATAAAGAGTTCTTGTGGGCAACACATTATTTCTGTCAACAAAATCACAGGGTGAAATCTACCGCACATGCCCATTTTCAAAATGTTCCCTTCATGGCATAGTTTCTTGCAAAAGGCATTTCCTTTCTCACTTGCCAAAATTCTCACAGAATCTGTGTGCCTATCTTTCAGAAATAATTTACTAGAGGGCATTCTATTGACAGTTACTTGGCATCTCACAATAGGTCACAACTTTGGAATGCTTATATTTTGTAAACAAGAACAAAACAAAACTAAAAAATAGTGTAACCTGACAACTCCCCTGAACTCTCATGTTCGATAATCAGCAAAACGCTGTGTGTTATACGTAACACTGTCATCATCCTTACAAAGCAGTATGGAGTTTTCTGGTTATGCCAATACAGTCAGCGAACCCCTAGCCCCAACACCTGTCAGCAGCAACATCCCCCAAAAGCGAATGGATGATGGGGATGGTGCTGTCCTCCCTCTGCCTTGGAAGTGACCCCCTCCCCGTCCTGGGAGTGACCCAAGGACATCTGGCCAGATCAGACAGCCACTGCCAATTCATTTTTCAGATATTAGGAACGTATGCTTCTTAATTTTCAGATACGAATCACTATAACCAGAGTTTCTGATGTTCTATCTCAAAACCTCACAGAATCATCTCCTGTGCCTCCTGGGTGCACACATCCCTCTTGGGAGAGCATGTCCTGCCCTTAGAACCTCTTGTCTGTGGAAGGAGAGAGACGGAAAGGGATGTGTCCAAGCACACAGAGCAGCTAAGACAAGGGGCCCTCAGCTCCAGGACAGGAGAACTTAATTTCTAACTTTGGGGCTGAACTATTTCATGTTTAATTCTTTTTCAACCATCTATTTTCACTTGAGAATGAGGTGCTCCGTAAAGAGCGTCTGGGTCCCAGATGGTGTACAGCTCTGTGCAGTACCGCAGGCCCTGCAGAGGGAACAATCTTGAGGTTCGGAGTATACCAGGCGTCAGGGTACACATGTTGCACACGCCCAGAGTAGCCCCCCGGCCCCTCCCAAGCCCTTGTTGTCAAGAGTGTTGAAACATCAGGATATCTGGGGGTGGGGGGCGGGCGGCATCAGACCCCACACTCTTTAGGGCCCCTTCTACCTCCTAACATTCTCCAACTCCATGAGTTTACCTGGTGGTTTTCCCTCCCCTCTTAAGGGACATTCCTAATGCTCACCATTCTCTGGCTCTTCCACTTCTAGGGACATAGGGTATTATACATGGCCACCCCCTTGAGGACATGTGACTGGTGACTGGCCTGGCCAATGCAATGTGGACCCTGGCTCTCCAGCCCCTCTTCCTGCTGTAGCAAGTGGGGACACTCCAGTGCCCAGTGGCTGGGGCCCCAAAGGACAAAGTGATGGGGATGGCCTCCTAGCTAAACTTCAGTGGACAGTAGTGAGAAGAGGGATAAGCCTTTGCTGATTAATACTACTGACTTTTAGGGTGTTTGTTACT